ATTATACACCCTATTGTACAGCGATACAGAAATATATAGCAATGACCTTGTGTAGACTTGACCTTGATCTGTGATCTTGAAGCAGTGGCGATGAAAAGATCACGACATGCCGTCTAGTGGTGGTACAAAATATGTATTGAGTTTCAATCAATTATTTTGAGCAGATCAAAGGTTATGGTCTGGAGAAGCAAAGACCTAGTTTAACATTTGACCTTGATTTGTGACCTTGGCCTTGCAGCTGGTGCGATAGCAAGTGTATAATCGCTCTGTCCAGTGATGATACATATGTGTATGTAGTTTTGTTTATTATCCATAAATTATGAGCGTGGCAAGAGAAAGTTTACAAATGAACAGATTGATAACATACCTCCACCTTTGACGGGGGAATAAAAACTAAATGCTGTGGTTTGTAAACATGTATATTTCTATACAATTTAAATGTGTATAATGACAGTACATAATATAACATTATTTTTTTTTATAACATTTTTCAATTTGATGCTGACAATTTGTTTAAAGTTTCACCTCTGACCTGCATCGTCTCTTCTACTGTGAACACCGAGTTTCCATCTCACTTCACATGAACGTGTTGCAGCTCAACACTTCTGCAGCTTTTTTGTCACAGAAATGTTTAGGCTTCTGTATTTATACAATTTTTTGCAAGTTCAAGAATAGATTTCATAAACAAAATGGTTTCTTCATATTTAGACTTGATTGCAGTAGTTTATTTTTATATAAAATATTTAGATTTTTGCAACACAAAGTAAATGATGTGGCAAAAAGATACAATCTAATGTACATACAGTGCTTTGCAAAGGCATTGGCAATATTTTTAATTTGTTGCTTTAGATCATGGAATTTTTTAATTAAAAAAATAAAATATATTCAAATCGAGACACGATGAAGACCAATGAACTTGCCACATGTCAGGGATAAAGTTGTGGATTTGTACCAATCAGAATTAGGTTATAAATAAAATTACAAATTCCTGAACATCTCACTGAGCTCCATTAAATCCATTATTAAGAAATGGAACAACCGAGAATAAAAATACAACGACCAGTTGAGGCAAAAAAAAAAAAAAAGCGTTGTTCACCAAAACCCACAAAGCAGACAGGGAGGACATTAATCAGAGAAACATCCAAGAGGCCAAAGATAACTCTGATGGAACTGGGCAGCTCCTTTTCAGAAATGGAAAGATCTGTCCATAAGACAGCTGTAAAGTGCACAGAGCTGGTCTACAGGGGGGAAAACAAATGTTGCTTTAAAACAATAAAAGTTTAAGTTTGGAATTTCTTCCCCAAACATGTGGAAGGAGGTGCTGTAGGACAATAAAAACAATTGTTTAGGTAAAAAGGACACCACCACGTCTGGGGCAATCTATGTTGTGCTACATGTCATCATACTGAAAACACATGAAGGCATGGTGGTGGCAGCATCATGCTGTGGGAATGTTTCTCATCATCAGGGACTGGGAAACTGGTCAGACGATGGAAGACAAACTACAGAGAAATCCTTGAGAGGAATTTGTCCTCTAGAGATTTGAAACTGGGAAAGAGGTCCACCTTCCTGCAGGACAATGACCCTAAACGCACCACAGAAGAAACACTCTTGGTCTTAGAAGAATCAGTTACATGTCCTGGAATGACTGGATCAAAGCTTAGACCTCACTCCAGCTGTGAATCTCTGGTTTGATTTATGTTGGACACCAGCAGCACTTTCCCAACCTAAAGGAGCCGGAGTAATTTAAAGTTCCAGTGGCTAGAAAGATGCTTGATGCAAAAAACAGATCTAAAAAACATTTTGGTGGCTAAATGCACATGTACATGTTATTATGGTTTCTAACTTTTTTTTAAATTATTATTGCACATTCCCCACTCCCATTTTTACAACAAGGGACTAAAAAAGTCAGAATTCCAAGATTAAAGCCAGAATTATGACATTAAAGTCAGAATTCTGAAATTAAAGTTAGAATTATGAGGAAAAAATGTCAGAATTATGACAAAAAAGTCAGAATTATGAGAAAAAAGTCAGAATTCTGAGATTAAAGTCAGAATTCTGAGGAAAAAAACAACAACAACAGACATTAATCTCAATTCTGATAAAAAAAAACAAAAAACAGACATTAATCTCAGAATTCTGCCTATTTTTTTCTCAGAATTAAGGGGGAAAAAGTTTGCACTGTGGCTCCATTCCACTTCCGTACCTTTTAATGACTTTCATTAATCAAAAGTATTTTTGCAGAATTATTTCTGTCAATCAAATTAAAGTAAAACTCCAAGATATTTCAAGTTGTAGGAAAACAAACTAGACAGATTATTGAGGGGGGTGAATATTTTTTGCAAGTCGCTGTGTATGCAGTGGATAATGCTAGATTTTCTCATTTGCTCGCTTTAGCTGGTCGTGAGGTTTCCACAAATGTTTCATGATATTTTGGCAACAAATGCAAACTGCATGCTACATTTCTTTCAATGCCCATAAAATATTGAACTCATGTACGTGTCAGTGGTCCCTTTTTACCAATTACAAATCCCTAACTACACAGACAGGGCAGCACAATTTAAAAGGAACAACTGACAAATAAACCAACGTGTTCACGTTGAGACATCACCCAAATATTGATTTAACATCATATTACACAAAGAACACATTATTGCAACCTTTTCCACCACACGTGGGTGAAAAAAAGATTAATTAAACACAAGATCCAATGCTGTGCTGCAACCTGCTGGCAGCATCCTGCAAATTCACGGTCAAAGAGCATGGCTGCTTTCAAAATGTGATTCATCTGTTATCTAGATGTTTGGAAACCTCCGTTTTATTCCAACTCAACATTTGTACAACTCTCCCTTAGTTGTCATCAGAACTATTTTATTTATTTCATAAGACGTGTAAAAGCTGAGGAGTTTTATTGTATATTGGGTTTTCAAGGTTGTTTCTAACGTTGTGTCTGTGCTGTACAACAAACAGGCAGTGATCAACACGATGTGTGGTTTTGGAGTTCAAACTCAAAAACATCTGGATGTGAACAAGTCCATCTACTCAGAGGGCTGCGCGGATCGAGCGGTGACGTGGATCGAGTCTCATCTGTTGCTGGTGGGGGCTCTCGCCCTGGGTCTGGCCTTGCCACAGGTAAACCCCACACATGTATGTAGTTAAAGTAACGAGCAGTAACCTTTTACCATAAATAACACCAGTGAGAGCCATTCATACTCTTTTGTCCTAAATAAGATCTGAAAAGTCATTAAAGCCGTCAAAAGTGGGTTGTTGGATTGAGGAGAGTAGTAATCGACATATTGACTGCACCTGCAAGGCAGACTCAAGGGGCGTTTGAAAAATAGTAAAAGTTACTCTTCATCAATCAGGACCTGGCACCGATCATGAAATAACAAAAGACTATAAGGAGGAATTAATCCTCAGTTTTAGAATTTACTTTAAATTCCCTGTTCAGGTTCAGGTTATTTTATACAAACATTATTTTACCTTTTTTTTTTTTAGATAAATCCCATAGTAAAGTGCATCGGCAAGGGCCAGCCAGGGATAATGGGAACTACTGGGGAAGGTGATTTAAAATAAAGGATTTACCAGGAATAATGTAACAAGATTTTAACAGCAAATTATCACAATGAGTTTAAAATTACGGGTTAATCTTCAATTTAAGTAAAGGACTGAGTGATAACATGTTTTAAAAAAAGATAATGCATATTTCCTCCCTTTTAAGAAGCAATGTGCCCTTTAATGATCTAAAGTCAACATGGCATCACGTTAGCACTTCTCAGGAGCTGTGTTTAAATGAGTAGTTCACTTACTGGTCAAATGATTGGAGTACTATCACACAACATCCTCACACAAGCCACTGAAATGCTAATCTGATCTCGCTCACATTTGTTTGGGTCCCCGATGAGTCTGCATAGAAGGGAAGCTGAATTTCCTATAAATCCTGACAAATGCTGAAGCTTCTGAAGCATCCACACTTTTGTGATCCATTTTTCTTCCGTACTTTTTCAGCATTTTTCTCATTCCACAATTTTTGTGCTATTTCAACAAATCATATATCAAAACGTTCGGCTCGTCCAGGAGAAGGGTGCTATGACTTTTGGTATTGCTGCAACTTTAGCTTTTTGAAATATTTAGCCTTTTCTGCCATTTTTTCTTATAGCCAATGGATTGAGATCATTTTACATCCTTCAAATCTTTAGATCTGTTTACAACCTTTTACTGCTCCTTTCACATTTTGCTCTGGTTCAGCTTCTTTCAGCTTCTTTGTGCAAATTAAAACTTTTCAGCTACTTTCAGCTGGGTTTTCAGCCGTTTTGTGATCATTTCAGATCATTTATGTTAACTACAACATTTTTGTGCTTCTTCTAACCTGCTAATTTCAATTTATGCGTCTTTCAGCTTATTTCTGCTAGTTTTAGCTTTTCCTTCTATTTCAGCTACTATTTAGCTGTTTTTATGCTAATTTCAGTATTTTCAGCTAAATCCACATTTTTAACACTCATTTCAAATTTTTTCAGCCTAATTCAGCAAAAGTGTGCTCTCGCTACTTCCTTCTGGTAATTTAAGCTTTCAGCTTTTTTTAGCTACTATTCAGCTATTTGTTTGTTTTTTTGTTGTTGCTTTTTCAGATAATTTCCACTTTTTTGTGCTCATCTCTGCTTCTTTAAAACTAATTGGGCACAATTGTGCTTTCTCCACTCATAGCATTTTAAACTTTTTCCTGCTTTTCAGCTTCTTTGAAACTTTTTTTTGTTGTTGTCATGCACAATATTATCAGCATGGTATCGGTATCAGACGATATTAGCGTTAGTTAAAAATCGGACATCGGCCATTCCATCAAAATAACTCATCGATATAAAAGGCGCTGTTTTTGTACGACAACCCAGTGACAAGAATGCCTGCAGCGGCAGCACAACGTGATGACGTCATGCGTGATCTGATCACGGTGGAAAGGAAGAAGTCAAAATGTCGGCGGTGTGGAAAGGTTTTTTTTGTTGAGGATGTCGGATTCTGAAGATTTATGGACGACGTTGAGCCTCGCTACATCGTCTCCAGTTGGAAATATTTTTTCAACGTAACCTTACCCGAGTTACAAGCCGTCATTTCCGACATCATTGAGAAGCTAATAGCTGATAGCACTTGGGTGAGTTTTACCACAGACATTTGGACGTTGCGTTAGCCCCGGTAGCATGATTAGTGTTACAGCACAATGGATAGACAAAAACTTTGAACTTAAAAAGTCTGTCCTTCATGCACAGAAGTGCAGAGGATCCCAGACTGCAGCTAAGAACCTGGAACAAGCCTCCACAAGTGAGACAGCATTGCAGGTGACTAATGCTGATAAATAACATTTAATACTTTTCATTTAACATAAGTTAAAGTGCTATGCATATCATATGGCTGTTAATGAATATATGTCACCAGCTCTTACAGCTGTGACACAATTTTTGTAGCAAATAAGCCTAAATAAGAGGCTATGTTCTGACAAAGGAACGTATAACAAATATCGGTATTGGTTATCGGCCAAATAAGTTAACAAATCGGCATATCGTATATCTGCTGAAAATCCAATACTGTGCATCCCTACTTTTTTTTTGTTGCAAATTTCAGCCTTTTTTAAGCTGACTGACTAATTTTTGTGCTCATTTCTGCTTATTTACTTGGTAAACCAAATTCAGCAAATATGTGTTCTTTCCGCTTTCTTCTGCTAACTTAGGCTTGTTCTTCAATTTCAGCAACATTTTAGCATGCTTTTTAGCTAATTTCAGCTGTTGTTCAGCAAGTTCTTCAGCAACACGCATTCCCACTGCATTTTCTCAGGAAATGTGATTTTTCTAGTTGCTTTGATGCTTGGTAAACTTGATTGTGATTTATTTAAAGGGTGCATCCTTTATAAACAGAATTCATTTAAGAACAAGTCACATCAAATTGTGAATAACTGAGCATTTTAAATCTTTCACTTTATGATCAGCTCTACAGGATTCTACTTTTGATCAGTAAATATGAGCTTAAATTAAAGTCAAACCAGTCCTAATTTTGAAATAGCTCCCACAGAGTGCCAAATGAGAATTAAAACATCCTTCCAAGGGACCACAGGATGCTCATTACAGGCTGCAGTTACCAAGAGTCTGTTGTGTAATCTAAAGTGGCTGCTGCTGTCCTCTAGATTGCAGGCATTGTGCTGTCCCAGATCCTGGTCTCTCAGATCCAAAATGAGATTACCTCGGTGTTTTGAGAGCGGAGGTGGAGGCAGAAAGAAAAGAAGCCAGAGTCCTCTGACAAGTGCAAATTCATCAAGAGTGTATATCCTTTTCTTACTCTGCTGTTGCCTTTAGCTCATCTAATCTAATTTTTGTATTGAACAATTTTTTGAATTTAGCTCATCTAGTTTGATGCCATTTATTGAGCTGCTCAAAAATAGTTACATACAAGGGGAAAGTGTGTACTGACTTTAAATGTATTTTATATGATGGTGACTTGTAAATGTACACCAAATGTGATGCACTTGCTAATAAAGTGTTATGTATATTTATTTTATTCCAAAGTTAGAGTGAATTCCAATTTATTGATCGGGGTGGAACAGTGGTCTAGGTATTTCTGAGAGATTTTAAATAGATTTCTGTGCCATGAAGGCATGTTTATCCCTGCACTCTTTTAACAACAGCCATGTGCAAAAAACTATGTCATTTGAAAAAAGGTCTGTAAGCTCAATCATTCAGGTGATCATCCATCACAATAAAAGTTAAATCATGTCATCTGGACAAGTTTATTTAAGGGAGTAATGTTTCGTGTTTCATACGAGTGCAATACATTGTAGCTTTTTGCATCAAGCTTAACTAAAAAGTAAAATAACATGAAAAATTTCCCATTAAATCATGCGATTTGCCCAAAGTGACACAATATATGGAAAAGCATTGTAAATAAATTAATTAAACACAACTGAAAATAGTAGATTGAACTTTTATACAATAAGGTCATCAACATAAGAGTACAACACAAAAGACTTCATCTATCTGGTCAGCTGTGTTAAGCCTCTCCCAGCTGGTTGGAAATCCATTAAATCAAAGCAACAGACCGTCCGATTAAAGGTTACTTTGATGTTTTCCCACGAGAGCTGCTCCCACACCTTCTAGACATGAAGAGCCAGAGCTTTCTGCATCAGGCGCTGGGTCAGAGGGGAGTTGGGCCTCACAGCATCACGCTCCACCAGAAGACATCTAGGGAAAATCAGGACAACACAAGACGGTACAAAGAGATGAACACAAAATAAAGAGACCACAAGCTGAGAGAGTAAACAAACAATAAAAAATAAAACCTGGTGTAGAGACAATATAATGGGAGAATAAACAATTCAATTCAACTTAGTAATTTTATGATCTGAATAGAGCTGTATTGTTCAATTCAGTTTATTTATACAGCACCAAGTCACAACAGAAGTCATCTCAGGGCACTGAACAGAAACATTTACATACTTTTAAAATTAGTTCATAACATTGTGTATCTAAGGAGCCAACAGACTGCTTGGAGTTTTTACTTCGTCAAGCCCAAAAGGCAACAGTGGAAAGGAAAAACTCCCTTTTACCAGGAAGAAATCTCCAGCAGAACCAGGCTCAGGACAAGCGGCCATCTGCTTCGACCGGCTGGGTTTGAGGGGAACGGGAAGGAGGAACAGATACACAATGGCAGGTCGAGAATCACATGGTATCAAATGAAAACTATGCATTTGATGAAACGAAGTCAGTTTGTCCTCCAGTAGTTTTAAACATATGGCAGAAGAACAAGCCAACACTAACTATAGAATTTATCAAAAAGAAAAGTCTTGATCCCAGTCTGAAAACTGGACAATGTGTCAGCCTCAAGGACAGAAACTGGAAGTTGGTTCCACAAAAGATGAGCCTGATAACTGAAAGATCTTCATCCCATTCTGCTTCTGGAAACACTAGGAACCGAAAGTAAACCTGCAGTCGAAGTGCTCTGTTAGGAAAATATAGGACAATAAGATATGTAATATAAGATGGAGCTAGGTTGTTGAGGACTTTGTAGGTTAGAAGTAAGATTTTGAATTCAATTCTGAATTTGACAGGGAACCAATGGAGAGAAGCTAAAAACAGGAGAGAGATGATCTCTTTAGGTTCTGATTGTTATTTGGTGGTCATGCGAGTACAGAGTGATGCACAAAAGCTGGGATAAATATGTTTAAGATGACGCAGAAGCATTCAGATTTGTTTGTGCCGGCTATTTTCTTGATTACGTCTCCACATTTGTTCAGCATTCTGAATCCAGCTGTGTCCCAGAGCACACTGCTGGATTAAATCCTGACCTGATGTGACCCTATGGTTCCTGAGAAATAAAAACAATTTGTAAAAACGGCATCCAAGATAAACACAACTGCCAGCTAATTGAAAGTAAGGCAAAGGCAATCAGTGGGAAAGCCATGAAGAAATTGCTTTTTAGTGGTAAAACTGTCTGGATTTTCAGAATCCTTCTTGAAAAAAATATTGATTAGTTGATTAGCAGGTGGCTATAAATGATTAGCCTCAAGAATATGGTTTTATCAGCAGAGATCCCGTGAAAACAAAAGCTCTGTAAAATCAAATATTTTATTTTATTGTCCTTCTGCTGTACTGCATCTCTAACAGAAGCTTTTTGAAATATTGGTAAAATTAAGTCAGGCGAGCCTGAAAGTGGATCATTGGATTAGTTTGTAAGAAAAAATAAAATGCTGATGCCCAGTTTGTTCCTCCACTGGTCCCTGAATGCCTGACACCAGCCTTTTTTACACCATGGACTGGTTTTTTGCAAGACATTTTTTTCCATGGACAAGCAGCAGGGGTGCGAGTGTGAGGGGAGCGCACATAACAAAACACAACAAAGTGCATCATGTATTTAATTATTACATCTAGATTTTAAATATTGTAATTTTTATTCTGTAATTTCATCTATATTGTTATCATTTTGTGGTTTATTTAATATATTATTGAATATAATACAACTTCTTAGCAATGCAGTTAGCCATTAAACACAGTGCTCCTCGTAGGGACACATTTAATGAAGTGGCAGCTTTGAAGAATTGTTCTGACCTTTTTATTCACTTTTTTCTCTTGGAAAACTTTCAGAAGTTTGTCTTTTAATGAAGCGTGCTTAGTCTTGATGTGGTGAAGCAGTTTTGAAGGTTTCAGGGCTTCACTGGAGAGTCGGTCGCCACATATCACACAGAGTGTGCTCAGACTGAGCATGAGAATCACCTGAAGCGATAAACCCATAATTTAAGTAGAACGCTTGGTGTTTTCTTTTAAATGCAGTTTTCTTGGTGGCAGTTGTGGAGCCTTCTGCTGCCTCATCATTAAGACTGTTACTTTTTTAAATAAGCTCTACAGCAGCGTTTGATTCTTACTCACTTTGGCTAAAGGTAGTTTGAGAGCGTTCCGGTGCATGCAAAAAAAAAAAATAATAATAAAAACTGCAACTGACTCAAGCAAGCACTAAAATTGTGTGGATGGAAGTGATTGATTTTCAAAATAAAATACCATGCAGACTAAGAAAGAAAAAAAAAATCTAAATTAAACTATTTTTTTCTTTCCATGAGGCTCAGTACCAAATGATCTAAGGACAAGTACTGGTCCCGACCCAGTGGTTGGAGAACCCTGGGCTAGGGTATGTACTGTATGTATTTGAATGTAAGCCATGTAACTGAAAGTCCTTCAGTAAGGATGCATTTAAAGGCTAAGTTCAAACACATGGACTTTAAAGCTATGTACTTATTACTGAATTACCCAAGATGCATGCTGATATCTAAAGTGAACAGGGTCTCAGCTGCAGGCTGAAACTAATCTAATGATATCCTGATTCATGCTCAATAATCCAGGTAGAAAATCCATCAATATTAAGTCAGATCCTCTGGATGTTTTTTTTTGTGTGTGTGTTGAAACATTTGGTCCTTCATCCAAAGGACTTCATCAGTCCGAGGAGCCACAACAAACTCAGTCTTATAAACAGCACCATCACATAGTGAACCACTTTGGCCATGACTGCTTCAAAAGCGTCGGCGGGGGAGAGGGCGGACTCCAGAAACCATCTGCGCACCATCACACTGGTTGACCCACTATGAGAAGGTGTTATTTATAAGACTGAGTTTGTTGCAGCTCCTCGGAGTGATGAAGTCCTTTGGACAAAAGACGGAACGTTTCAACAAAAATAAACCAAACAGAGGACTTGACTTAACTTTGTTGGATAATCTAATGATACTAATCTGTGTCAAATCTGCAACTGAAAGCAAAGCTTAGAAAAAGTTAGTTACAGATATGAAATGCAGAATAATTGTTCAATATAGTAGAGCAATGGTTTCCAACCCTGGTCCTTGAGGAACACCATCCTGCATGTTTTAGTTGTTTCCTACTCCAACACACCTGATTCAGTGATTTAATTGTGTCATGCTCTGCAGAAGCCTGGTAATAACCCATTTATTTAAATCAGGTGAGTTGGAGCAGAGAAACAACTAAAACATGCAGGATGGTGTTCCTCAAGGACCCGGGTTGGGAACCCCTGTAGTAGAGGTCCTGGGTTAGTAGAATCACTCCTAAGAGATTTATTGTTTTTACACTAATCGGGTAGAAAAAACAAATGTTTTAACTAGGTCTGACAAGTGCAGAAAACTCTCAAAGGATGAGTCTTAATAAACTTTAAATAATAAACACATATAAAAGGTAAACTTAATTTAAAAACAGATGTTGGGCTTGAAGCTTGTTCTTTGTTGAAATCAGGTCTCTCTTGTAAATGAGTCCTCGAGGCTCAATGGGATTTACCTGTATAAATAAAGGTTGATTGATTGTACGTACCTTCCCAGTTTCTGGTGACGTTTATTTTCTGATTTCATAGTTGCATGGATAAGCAGATGATTGAACAGATCTCTCTGTAAAAATTAAATAAAATAAATAAATAAATAAATAAATAAATAAATAAATAAATAAATCATTAGTAAACAAGAATCTCTTTCAACACTATTCAAAGTACATCTACTTTTTTAATATGCACTGCACAGCCCTCGAGAACAGTTTTCAGAAAACGAAACGTAGAATCCACGAAGTCCATCAGCATCCATCTCAAAGATCTATTATTTATAAACTGGAGCACTGTGCTTCACATTCTCATACCACAGAGTGCGGTGCGTTCATGGACCTAAAGGCTGCAGAACTGAAGCACAGTGGGTTTTATTTCTGGCTACTTTTTACATCAACAGGGATTTCAGTTTTGCTCATGAAAACATATTAAAGTATGATCAATAATATCCAAAGAAAGCAAACCCTCGAGGCCAAAACGTTCTTGTTTGTGTAATAAGAAGCCGTTTGGTTAAAACTTAGTTTTGTTTGACTTCTTTGTATGGTTTCATTTTTTAAAAGGCACTCATTTGTGTGAAGCTTACCTGTGCGTCACTGCCACCGATGTCCACCAAGCGGTAACGTAACGGGCTCAACAGTTCCACAGTCTGCTCATAGTTGCCGTTGTTGTACTCCATCATAGCTTTACACATTGGGATGCCTATACTCTCAGCCAGTAGATGTTGCTGGTTGTCACCTGGTTTCCTGTTGAGGGAGCAGCAGTGTAAACAAAAGTTTTATTTAGAGGAGGACACAAAGAACTGAGGGAGCATCTATGGAAAAATGTATGAATCAAATACAAGGTAGAGGCAGTTTTACTTTATAGATTCCCTGTTATACAAAGGAATTTTTCTACTGATCTATAAAAGGTAAGCATCTGAAAACTGAATTACAGTGGTCCCTCGCTACTTCGCTGTTCGATTTTCGCGGACTCGCTCTTTCGCGGTTTTGCAACGATTGTCAACTTTAATATTACTCATGTGATTGGGACGGCATGGGAGAAAAATTTACCAAAAAAATAAAAAATACTTCACGAGAGGCACTGCCATTTTGTAGTTTTCTTTTAATAAGTCTACACTGCATCTCCGATCAAAAGAACTACACTACCCAGAAGCCAACAGTGCTTCTGGCCACTGCTTTATGCCAAAATGAAGGGAAAGTTTTGCAACGCAAAGTCTGAAGTAACAATCTATCTCTTGAGCTCACCTCCCTTGTCATCCCCCTTTTGTCTGTCTAAACAGATCACACTTGTAAATGAGTCTTCGAGGCTCAATGTGATTTATCTGTCTAAATAAACATTGAATTTAAATTGAATTGAAACAGAACTGGCAGGAAAGTTCAAATAATCCTGAAGCTTCCTGAAGCTCAATTATCCACGTGCACATCAACCTGGACGGGGCGGTGGTAGGGCTGGGCGATATGGACCAACATTAATATCTTAATATTTTAAGATATATGGCGATATACAATATATATCTCAATATTTTTTCTTTCCACAAAGTAAAAACAAAAATATATTTCTGAGGCAAAGCTTTGTCCCAATTGTGACACAGGCACATTTATTAACAAACAGCTGTAACTCTACAAAATAAATGTCTAAAAAACAAACTATTTACATATATTAAATAATAATCTTCAGCTGCGCCGCCTTCACTACATTAGTAAGCGTGTGCAAAGCAGCACGTGAGGGGCTGTGTTTGTATTCAGTGAGGGAGGAGGAGGGTCCATGTGCAGTTGGCACAGATGGGAGAAAAAGAAAAACTACACAGATTTTCAAGTCTAATTTTAACTCAACGTAGAAATATCAATATAGACGATATAGCCCCGGCTTGTATCGCGTATGAAATTAGGAGGTGGGCTTCATCACTGCAGAGTAGGTCTGCTGGACCGGAACCAAACCCGACTGGAACCGAACTGCTGTTCTGCAGAGCTGGTGAGTAAAATTTTGCAGTACTGTACAGTACATACACGTGTGATGTTAAAATGACGTAGGTTCAAGAGTTTAGAACATTGCAAGAGTGTGGGAAGGGTTCATAAAGTCTTAAAATATATACATTCTAAAATAAATATAGCGTTCCTACTTCACGGTTTCTCACCTCTAGCGGTGGTGTCTGGAACGTAACCCCCGCGATAATCGAGGGACTACTTTCCTCCAAAGCGGGACAAAAGCTCCACAATACACAACCTTTTAATTTTTCCAAACCGAGGTAAAACCGTAACTATAGAGAACGTGGATAACACAACAAAAATACAAAGTATGAACATGTAGAAATGTGCAGAAGAGGAAACGTTAAAATTAACTTGTCATTTTGTGTTAAGAGTTAAAGAAAATGGCCAAGCACAGTCGGAGGTGAGGAAACCTCATGTTAACCAATGTACCCAACAGAGGCAGCAGGTCCTGCTACATCATTTGCTGAAGAGGAAAGACTCATTTTCAGATAGAGAACGCAGCTTAATGTTCTCTTTCTAACCACCTTCATTCTCCACCTCATATCCAACCGGCCTCCTTTTTGCTTGTGTTGCTCTTCCTTATGGCTGACATAAGGGTTGAGGAGTGCAGTGAAGAGAAAAGGCACAGAACTAACTTAGCCAATTCCTGGAGGCCCTCCAGCAGACGCTGAGATGTCCCAGACTCCTTTGCTCCCAGCGACACCATGAGGAAGTGGAGGTCATTGAACAAGGTCACGTGGTCATCGGTGTGAGGCTGGGTCACCTGCAGCAGCTCTCGCCAGCGGTCCTTCACACACACGCCTGCAACAAGCAGCAACACAAGCACGTTTTCTGAGACAGGAAAAAAGTCGGTTCCTCTCCAAAAGTGAAAAATTTGTTCAGACGTTGCACTAATTATCCTCACTTCTGGCACATAACTTTAATAGTCAAATTAATGGAGTATAAAATCTGAGATAATTTCATGCCATTAACTCTTTTTACTTTGAATTTAAGATGTTAAATTAGGTGCTACAGTTGTTTTGCAGTTAATTTGCAACAATTAGTTTACAATTACAGGTATGTGACTTTGATCATTTCCTACAACAACAAAAAAAGAAGACATTTTTTGAGGCTAAATTAAATTCAGTCAGAGGCATTGAGGCCTTTATATTTTCTATAAATTCCCATTTTTTAATATTCCTACCTTCCATTTCCAGTCTGTAGAGCATCGAACAGGCATCTACTGTGTCCAGCATGGACCCTGAGGCTTTACATCGTTTGAATACCTAATAATAAAACAAACAACGGCACATCTTTTCACTCTTCCCTTAGAAAATTGAGAGGACTAGCATGTAATAAACATAATATATCATTTACAAATATCAAATTGCTATATGTTGATTAGTGGTGAAAACGTGTGACTTTAAACCAGCTCAGAGAAACAACAAAATACGTATTTTTTACGTTAAGGTGGTTAGTGACATGAAATATTTTTGCTAATGTACAGAAAATGAAAGACTGTCTCACAGTCATAAGTTCAGATTTGGCACTTTGAAATGAGTGTGGGTGGTTCTTTGGCTCTCACATCTTTAAAAGGCTTTAATTTCTATTTGCTCACCCATCACCCTCCTGACTCACAACCAGCGCGACACGTTGCTTTTCATCTGGATCCATTGCGTTTTGGCACATTTGTGACTTTTAAGCACTTTCAAACAGCCACATATGGTTTTGTTTCAAACTCTGAACAGAAACCAACCTGAGAGTCATAGATTTGCAGAGCAGCTTCATATTGTCCCTGCAGAGGCGAGGGTAGTGAAAACAACAAACTAGAGTTATGGCAGAAATGAGATAAGCATGTTTAGATACAAACTCAAATTAATCTTACAACATAATTAACTTCAGACTTCAAATTACCGTTGGGAAATAATGAATAAAAAAGCCACAAACACTTCTACTGCCAGCTCTTTGCGTGACTGAATGAATGAATTATAATTCTTACCTTCTCAATAAAGTATAGAGCCCAGTGCCAATAATTGTGACTGGCCAGAATGTCCGATACCTGCAATCAAATGTTGCATAATTCAAACATCTTTTTGGGGGGGGGGTGCAATTTAAACCAAGTGGTTTTTGAACCTCAGTTAAGCAACAGTTAAAAGCAGGACCTGCCAGTCTTTCTCTCTGCTCTCCATGAACTTCAGACCAGTGTCCACCGCTGCTGTCATCTCATAAACATGAGCTACAGAGTGGACGGACCACGCATCATCTGGAGTCAAGGCAAGGCCCTGCACAACAAAAGGTGAAACAAGAACAAGTTCTACAACAGCGTCAAGTGCTCGTGACATGCATATCCTAAAAACACAGAGTGGAAGAAAACATCTTAATATTTAAGAAATTTGGCAGAATACACAATTTAACTCCTTTGGTCACATAGCATGGCATTATTGTGAGATTGTTTATGAAGCATTCACACTATTGGAATCCATTTTTCAGCATCTTTCTCGTTCCACAATGTTTCTGCTTTTTCAAAAAATCATGCTCAGCTCTTTCAGGACAATCCTGCTATGACGTTTGGCATTGGTGCAACTAGCTGTTTGAAATATTTCGCCTTTCCTGACACTTTTTTCTCATAGAAAATGAATTGAGCTCATTTTACATCCTTCAGATCTTGAGACCTGGTTACAATCTTTCACTGCTCCTTTCACATTTTGTTCGGGTTCAACTTCTTTCAGCTTCCTTGTCCAAATGTAATTTTTTTTTTTTAAATTCAGCT